TCCAATACTCTGTAATCCTAATTCAGATCATTGCTGTTTTCTATGAAATATCCCCAAATATGAGTTAAAAATTCAAATTGAACTAAGAAATAAGACGCCCGGCATTGAATGAGTAACCAAAATCTTTATACGATTATTTGGCTTGAAGATATAAATATTCTCCAATATCTATGTATTTTTTTGTACAATTTCTGGAGTCAGAACGAACTGTAATTATTATCAATTATTCATGTATTAATTTGTATTATTTTTAACAGGTGAATTATTCTTTTCCAAAACGGCGTCTGCTTCACCAAAACACTAGATGACAATATTAAATATCTGTCATTTAATAGAGGCTGTCTTTTCTGGTTTTGCACATAAGTACATTCAGTATATACTTGATGCTGATGATCAATAGGTGGAGAACTATTATTAGAAATGATTGAAGACTTTTCAGTAAGGTTGTCTCCGGACGTTTCTCGTCTACTCAAAACAAGGGTTTTTCTTCTTCAAATAGTTAACTAACAGGAAGGGGCTTTTGACAAATTCTTGAAATAGTATCTTTCTAGAAAAACAAATAGCCGTGTTGATGGTCATTTGTTCGTTTTGTTTTGACGTGAAACTCTCTAGATTCGCTTTTAAAGGAAAACATTTCAGTTGTAATAATCAAGACGTCATTAGTATATGACGTGTATAGCTTCATATATCAAGTACAGACTAATCTTCAATTAATCCATCACCATTTCCATCATGAAACAAATTCTCTACCCGCGGTGGATCATTAGTAGGAACTGAAATCTTGAATAACGTCTGAGTCATTGGTGGCTGCGCTCTTGCTTAGCTATTCATTATATGAAATGATAGATTACGAGCAATTTTCAATATCAGTTGACCTCAGTAGTTACAAGCTGCCTGTTTAAATTTGGTTTTTCACTAGAGCCAGTCAAAAATGTGAAAAATATCTACTAATTATTTTTGATTGATGGCAACAGGAAAAAAAGATCGACAGACACCGAGTTCGTGTAATGTTGAAACTGCACTGAAATAAAAGACAAATAACATGGTGCCAAGTGAATATTGGACCTTCACGGAACATGACAGATCCGTAAGACGCCCAGAACAAGGGCTAGTTAGAATGATAAAAAGAAAAGAAATTTTGAGCAATTTCCATCAAAAAAGGAACGGATAATTATTGTCCTTTTTGTTCTCCAAAACAAATTTATTGCAGACAAAAAAGTTGAAAACCTTTTCTTTTCATTTTAGTTGCACGTCAAGTTTGTATGTACTTTCAAAGAGGAGCAGGTTGTTAGGATCGTCCTCTATCCCTTACAAATGAGTTTCTCTAGATATTGTCCCCCCTTTTTCTTTTTTGGTAGATCCAGCTACAATAGTGTGTCTACCGCACCAAATTGATATACCTATTAAAATAAAGTTAGTCACCAAAAACTTAAAAAGCTGAGGATCATCGAGGAAACGAGGAAGGAAAATGTTTTGATACAAACTGCAGCTTGGTAATGCTCAGAAGAGGTGAGACTGTACTGGTAAAAGATGTGCAAGTCCATCAACAGTTATCAAGCAGGTGAAACAATGTAAAACGTACTGATCTACCCATAATCCTTGTCGGTCTCAGCCTTGTAGCTAACTTTATTGAAACAAGTATTAAACGTGGTCGGGTTAAATCATCGTGCAGATTTGGAACATTGGTTCAAGTTACCAAGCAAAGCATTTTGTCACTCTTTGTGTATGTACCTGTATGCAAACACTCTCAAATGCCCAGGATTTTGACTACCCAGAATACCCCTCGGTCTTAGCTTGCGAAAGTTCACCCCGACAACTAAGGCAGACATGACGATATCTGTTTTAACTGACATTTTCTTTAAGAGAATTTAGTTAATCAGTCAAAGATAGCTTTTTGGGCGTTTCTGCAGTAGAATTTCACTTAAAGACATAACACTAAATATCATATAGGTTTTAACGAATATGGAGAAAGACGACAGAAAAAATATGTCGCGTTGAGTTAATGATCTGTCACGACAAGAAAGAAAGCACACTCGGCATGTGATTCACATACTATAGTATGTAAACGAGCACTGTCTAATCCAATACAACAAATGTAGAATTAAAAGAAAATTGAGATTAACTTATGGGTTGCTAGCGTACAAAGCACGTTTGTCGTGCAGAAAAAGAATACATTTTCGTACATACATGTAATCAAAATAAGTTTCAAAGAGATCCTCAAGAAACGTGAGCTAGAAGTTGGGTTTTCGCATTTTTTGTCCAACTGAGATTCTTCTAGAAGTATAAAACTAATACTCAAATGGTTATCTACGTGATGTGGCATTTGCGCCGGCGAAGATGGCACACTGGGGCGAAATCGGATGTTTCGATTGTTATTAATTTCTATCAAGTTAAACAAAATAGCCTTACCGTATACCAGATCTTTCTCTTGCTGATTTTGGTGTGGTTCGCTCTTTTATTGCCCTTCTTTTTCTTGGTTGTTTTTAGAAAAATTCCCTTAGCGCTTCAATTTTGAACTTCTTCAAACTATCAATCCGTGAGATGAGCTCAATACTTTATTCGTTAGTTTGATTTTTTTTTTCTTCTTCTGTCGTTTCGAGAGTTGCGATTGAACACACTTACATTTGTTTTCTAAACTAGAATCTTTTTGAAGTGGATATTTACCTTACAATGCATTAGGAAAGTAAACCATCTTACTGTCCATTTTGAAAAGCACAGTTAAGATCTTAGGTTAGAAACTTGCTTTAAGGTTACTAGGTAGCTCATTTGTTTTTTTCAAATCAATTCAAACAAACTGTGTAATTTTTTTTTATAGAAAAGATGTTCTTTGCTTGTATTTGCTTTGTATTTTGACTCGTGAAAATCATCCGTGTTTGAATAGCTTGTCAATAATGTTTCACAAGTGAAAGCTGGAAGTACTTGTTTGTAAATTACGTAGATCAACCTGATCTTGTTTTGAAGATAGAATATTAGGAAACCTCTCTCGGTTAAAGACTGCTCTTGGAACAAATGTGCATGTCAAATAATATTATAAATAATAAGCAATAATTTAATAATGATAGTAATAGTAATGATGTTGGTGGTGACGGGGTGATGATGTTGAAATTGGTGATGAGGATGATAATGATGAAAATATTAATAATCATAATTACTATTAAAATCATAATGATGAAAATAATGAACATAATGACGATAATACTGAATGATGATACTATCACAGGTTTTTCAACTGATTTAACTTTCCTAACATAGCACAATTTTCTTTTTCGCGACAAGGATTTCATGTTTTCCCTAAAATAGAAATTCTTCATCACATGTCCTTATAATTAATTCTAGCTTCAGTTATTCGACTGATAAAGGACTTTTCAATTCAATTTATTTTTATCAGAGCTACTTATCCTTAGTTATTATCTTCTTCGATTTTGCTTTTTGGTTAAAAGGGGGCATTTTTTGTTTAATTAGATTTCACAACACATCGTTAGCTAGTGTTTATGTCTTGAAGTGTGAAATCTCAAAGCCCTGGGTTGTTTGTCATAAACAGTTTTCTTCTGTGTTTGTCGCCTGTGGTAGAATAAGACCCAAAGCCTTAGTAATTTTCCATTTTTGCCATTAATTTCATTAAACTAAGTATTCACATTAAAATAATTAGCAAAGAATACATTTTCATATGTGATTTTTCCGGTAGATCGATCAGTTTACCATGACAATTTGGCGCTAAAACCTTTGCACTGCATTATGGGTGCTCCGTTTTCTATTAGCAGACTCATTATCGTGGTTTCTCGCTAAACGTGTAATTGCAAAGAGCCAATTTATCTGTGTTTTAAGGCACGGATATACATGGATTATTGGCAAAACTAAGTCTTAATAATATTAAGACGTAATCTGTTGCCAAATATTCATTACTCCTCGGCAAACACTTCAATTACAGTTTGCTCAATTTATGAAAAGCTTTCCGAGTTTTCTCACAGCATGAACTCATCGAAACCACTGATTCTGTAAGTTTAAACTTAAAATCATAACATTTTTGTATATAAAATTCAGTATTTTTTCAATCTATTATACTTAAACACCACAAATGCTACTGTCATCAAGATTGACTAACGAATTCAAGGTATACCCAAACCTAATGCCTTTTCAATATATTCCCAATGTCGTTGTTTTGATTTCTTATTAGTCAATGTGCTGGAAACCATGGATCAGTCGAAATCTGTGATTAGAATCTGAAAACTAAATCCCCACGTCTTTCAAAAGCAAATGAAAAAAATCCCGATATATCAGTAGCTCAGCGCCAAACCAAATTGTACACTCAAAGTTTATCTCTGTAAAAGTCTATGACTGATATTGTGCAATGGTTTACCAGCATCAAGTAAATCGGAAAATCTCAAGAACTCTCTCACTATCTAACCAAAACATTCTATTCCGACTCATAGGAAGATTCCATATACTAATATAAGACAACTCCTCTGTAATTTATACAAGAGTTAGTACAATATTCACGATTTCTAGCGGCTATTAACATTTCTAGTAGCCGTGATAAAATGTTTACATTCATGTTACTAAACTAGAACTTCATTCATAGTGGAATGGCCGCTTTGGGGTTAGTTGCTTCCTTTATTTTTTTCACATTTGTGACCTACAAAATTCCCTTTAAATTCTTGATAAAATTCGGCGTTTTTCACAACTTTTAATTTAAATATATATATATATATATATATTGTTGATCGATGCAGAAGTTATGCAAGAATAATTTGGGTAATTTCAGTATAATTCCTGGGAAAACACCACATGATTATTATTTAGGGTTCAAATCGTGTTTATTATTCTGTTGCCAGCTTTTAAGCCCCTTGTCAACCTCAAATTGATCGCCTGGTCTCTTTGAGCTCCTTATATTGACTTAGTTTAGGGCCAAGTGTGAATAGTTCAAGGCCATCTTTATTTCAGTTGATCTTCATTTGACATTATTTTTCATTGGTCACTCAAACTTTCACTTTCTGTTTTAGCGCTTGTATGACTATCAGCTGAGCCGAAATCAACAAACCAACCCAGCCCAAGAGACACATTGATTGAATTATTTGTCAAAGATCGTTTAATTGCTGGATAAATCCTGCTTATTCTCAAAAGGCCTTCATCTTCGAGCTGCAAAACACATCAAGACAGGACAACAAGGTACCTATCTCGACTACACAATCTTTTTTTTTTTCAGTTCTCTGGCACGATTTTTTTATTATGTATAGTCGCCCGCTGGCTTTGTGCCCGGCCGTAAAATCCTATTAGTATATCTTACTAAACACTTCAATACAATCCATTTACTTTAAACTACTTTACTGAATACAACTTATAAATGAAATAAACCCATACTCTTGGTGTTACTCTCTGTAATACAACTAATACTAAATCGATAATATGGGTATTTTTTGGTACTTTAAGGACAAACTCTCAAATTCAAACTTCAAGCTTTAATCACAAAACCATTGAATCATTTCTCACAATCCATATTAATGATTATTACAAGTCTTAAAGAAATCAACGTTCTCCAGTCATAGAGACTATAATTTTTGGTGGCTTCGTCTCAAGAATGACAGCAAATAATGCCACATTAAAATCAGCAGTAAAAAAAACGGTATGTAAAAAGATTCATCTCTATCGAGATATTGCACGAATCAGGGAATCAGGGAAGCCCTTGAAAGCTTCTAGTCATTTTATCCGCAAGTCAAGTATATTTTGACACAATAGAGCCATTTGATGTGAAAAACATTAGGTCATTTAAAACGTTTCCCAATTTTGTCATTTCAGTCTAGTTTTTATGCCTTTTTATCTTTGATAATTTATAGATACTTGATCACAATGCGTCCGATTTCTTTCAAACGGTTTACGATAACTACACTTTTACACTCATCTGATGTTCTGCAAATCGAAATTTTAGATGTATGTATGTGTGTTTTGGCTATTGCCCTAGACAACAGTGTAATAGAAACGATGGGCTCTGCATATTTTAAATGTATTTTCTTTGAAACGATTTTGTCTAAAAACCGACTTTTTCAGTGAGAATCGAGCAGGTCTAGGAAAATGGGAATGTTCAAAATGAGGGGGGGCAGATAAATGATATTCAAGTGTGCCAAAAAAGGAAAGGAAGGGGGAAAAAGAAGAAGAGAAAAAAGGAAGCAAAAAAGAAAAAGAATGAAATAAGTAAAAAAAATAAAGCAAGATAGACAGCCAATAGAAACCAGAGTCATAGAAATTTACATAGTAATTTGAGAATAAAACCTTTAAATGAAAAAAAGAAGAAAAAAAACTAGAACAAGGCTAACCAGGGCAAGTTGTGAGCAGAAGTTATGGAACATGATTCAAATGCTTGTGAGAAAATGAAGGTTGAATATAGAGACAAGTAGCAAATGACAAGGCTAAGGTTGTCAAGGTAGACATAGAACGTTGATATGGCATGTTACGACATCAAAGTGCAAATCTCATTGTTGAAGTCAAACACTGCCAAAGGTTTCATTTCGATGTCCAAAACCGTGTTTACATTCGAAAAAAAAAATGTGAATTTTAAGCTTGAAATATTTTGTCTTTACAATGAGGATATTCGAACCGTGAACAATTTTTTCAGTTTTTTTCAAGTTATTTGTTTGTGTCTTTTCGGGTCATTAATTACTGAACTTTCTACTGTTTCAAACCTTTAAAATGAAGCAATGAGTTCAAATACACCGAGTGATCCAAATAAATCTTACTCAGTTCATGTTAACAGCTCAAAGGAAGATTTACAGTATGCATTTTTATGTGACAAAAGACTCCAAGTGTTCACAGTTCGACTGCATGTCCTTCATCACTGTAAAATGAAAACTTTTCGCCAGTTGTACGTTTCTAGTTTTTATCTTTATATTTTTTGTCTCATTTCCTAAATTTTCAAATATGAAAATCGTGATAACGAAAACTAGACTATTTTGGTTTACTTTTAACTACTTGTTTAAGAAAGAGAAAAGAAATCAAACAGCGTTTTTGTTGACAAATGAAACTAAAAGATCATATTTCCTTTTCCTTTTCCTTTTCCTTTTCGTTTCCTTCAGCATCAATTTCAATTTCAACTTCACCTTTCTTTTAATCCAGTAATGCATTTTCAAATAAAATGGATTACTTTCATCCTGCTCATTTCCGTATTCCAACACTAATTCCTATGATTCTATGCTCTTTCGATATCATTTCAACTAAAAAAAAAAAAAAAGAAATGAGTAAACGAACCTTGCTATTTCAATTTCCTTTTTGATGATCTTAAGATAGCTTTGCCATCTGACAGCGAACTGTCCAGTTTGATTACTTTCTTCAGACACGTTATTCGCTAATTGAATCCAAATTCAATTTTCCACTTTTGACTTTCATGACGTTGTTATTATTATTGGTCGATTTTACACGATCAAGAGGTTTTTATCACCAAGTGTCGTTGTTTGTTGTTGGCTTTTCTCCTCCAGAAGCTATCGCCATGCATCGCGTTTTTAATATTTCAAACGGAAAACGAACATCAAAATACCCCAAGACCAAATCGCTTTTCAATGACAGTTGCAGAGGGAATTGAAGTGATTCAGATTTTATCTCTCAGTTCGTCCAAGCGGTGTTTGATGTTCTTGATTTAGGTAGAGCCGAAATAATCAATGCTTTCTCATAAGTTAACAATACATCGCACCCAGACTTCCAATATCACAACGATTATATCTCAAACATTCAGGCGCCCAATACATTTAATGCATGAGGTATTTAACAATAGACACCGCTGTGACATCATCTCTGCAGGTAATTCCTACTAAGAGAATTAAAAGCCTTTACCCTTGTGATTATTTATTCATATATCTTCTTCAGGTTAACGACAAGTGTCCATTCAAAGTCAGGCATGAATGTTTCAACTAATGCTACGTCTACTGTTCCTCCTCTTCCATCGGGATATTTAGCTGTCCGGTATACGAGACTTGTCTTATACCCGGTCATATTTGCTATCGGAGTGGTTGGCAACTCCATCGTCAGTGCTCTTATCCTCAAGAAAAGTAAGAACTCGACAGCCAATGGATACTTCATTCTCAACCTTGCCATCTCAGACTTGATGGCTCTGTTGCTCTATCTTCCCTTTGACTTGGCCTATCTGGAAAACCACTACGAGTGGCCCTTTGGTGCGTTTATGTGTAAGTTTATCAATTGTCTCAATAAGTTTTCTGTCATGGTATCTGGCTTGACTCTAGTTGCCATTGGTGTCGATCGGTATAAAGCTATAGTACACTCCCTGAAGAAGAGGCTCTCCAGACGAGACGCCATGATCATGATCACCGTAATCTGGCTCTTCTCTGCGGTCTTACAGCTTCCATACGTATTCGCACTCAAACTAGATCCTCGCGGTGAGTGTGTTATTGATCTTAGCTTCTGGAAAGGACCGTATCAGTTCGAGATGACCTACTTTTTTGGTGTCTTCACGCCTGAGTTCGTAATCCCAGCTATTGCACTCAGCTTCTGTTACGTCCGAATTTCAATTCATTTGGAACAAACTCATAAAAGAAACTCAAAACATGGCTTGTTTCAAGAATCCACGATGACTTTGAGGGAGCGCCAGAACCGCAAGACCACACAAGTTTTGACAGGGCTGGTAACAATCTACACTATCTGTATTCTACCTCATCAAATCTGTGTTCTTATGATCACTTTTCAAAGGAACTATCTCAATTCTGATATCATGAGGCTGGCCTACGAGTTCACAAGGCTTCTCACCATCACTAATTCTTGTCTCAACCCCATTATGTATGGAGCGATAAGTAAGGGCTTTCGCACAGATATACGGAACTTCTTCCGCGGTAAGCACGCTCAGACAGGCTCGTTTCGATTTCTAAGATCGACTCATTCACGAAGTCCAGAAACAAAGAACTTGAAGGATATCATGTACAATCAAGAAAACTCCTTCAAGCTTTGAATACAAAAACAATACAGAAACAGAAAAAATAGATGAATATAATTCTCCTATTATAGTATCTTCTTCATGGTGTACTGATCGAATAAACTTCTCAATAGTTCAGTTTATCATGCATATTTTTCGTTCTGTTCATATTATCAAAATCCTTCTGATATACATTTGAAAAAAGGAACAAGCTGGTCATTAGCGTAGTACAAACTATGTGAAAAGCAGCCACTTGATATACAAGTGCGTTTGCTTCAAGGAGGTCCCTAATATTTGGCGATAAAAACTGGTCTTTAAAAGCAATCGAGACTCTACTACATTTGAATGAGAATAAGACCCATTTATGTACATATATATCAAAAACTAAAAATAAGGAGTTAAAACATTAAAGAGTTGAAGGGTAACTTCAAACTTTAGCCCTATGAAGACGTTTATTCTTAATTTGATATGTGCATGTAATATATATTACATATATATACACTTCATTGCAGAAACGACGTAGGGGGGAGGAGATGTGGGGGGTACTTAAAACCTCAAAGGAAATCCGCGAAACCTAGAAAAGGACTGAAAAAACAAATCCGCATATATCTCAAATATATCTTTAACAATATCTTATACCTGTCAACATGTCCTTTGATAAAACGTCTTGGAAAAAATCTCGAGCGGAATATCACTGGATAAACAAATATTATTATATTTTCATGAGTTTCATCTAATTAGATATTTATGTATTTGTATGAATGTAAACTACACTATTTTTGCTCATTCAAGCGTAAGGATAAACATATATAGAGCTTTTAAGAGTGACGTCAACCATTTGGAAAAACGACGACTTCCGGATTTTTCTTTAAATTTCTTCATGACATGATCTTTTGCCCAAAGTATTTTTTCTTTTTTTCAGGTTTAGGTTAAATCACTGAAAACTTTTTTCGCTTTATTTAGCGGTTTTAGCGAGCAGTTGAATCCGAAAATACGTCACAACTTAAAAGATCTATATTCGCCTGACACTAATGCACACCTATTTCATGCCATTGCGTCATGAAATATTCATCCCAATACACACACTTAGTCGGCAGATTTTTTTTCAACTTCCTAAGAATTTTCATTGAGTATTATTTTTTTCTGAGGACTACTTTTAAGATAAACGCATTTCAAAAAATGTTGGTAAAGATTTTGTTACATGCTGCATGGTGCATGTTGCTTACTAAGCTTTGAAATGTATTATATTTCATATGTAAATAATGTCAGCACAGTAGAAAATATACCGAAAAAACGTGGAGACAAAGTTTGGAATTTTTCATATATATAGTTGTGATTTCGCTGATAGGATTCACATCATCCATTAGGCAGCTCGGGTAGCTCGGGTTTGGTATGCAACGTGCTACACGCGACAATTTGTTTTGAAATTTGAAAAAGAAAAAAGAAAAGAAAAACTTGGTGAAGATCAAACAGTTAATAAAATAATCCTTTTTTCTTTTTCTTTTTCTTTTCTTTTTCTTTTTTCTTTTTTCTTTTTTTTTTTTTTTTTTTNTTTTTTTTTTTTTTTTTTTTTTTTCTTTTTCTTTCTTTCTAGATTTGAAAGGGCATTACTTCGAAGTCGTTTGACTTGCCTGTTTCTAAAAAGAAATATTTATACTGACTCAAATAAAGCGACTTTCTTTGCCAAAAATTGGAAGACGGAAAACTCCGTAAAGAATTTTTATCGCAAAGGATTATGGGGCTGAAATATCACTATCGCCTACACAATCCTTAGCGGTCAAATCTCTAAATTTATTTTTATTTTGAACTTAAAGGCAAATAACTAAGGTCTACTACTTTATTTAATACGAGAAATAAGAAAAATAGTAATGACACTCTTCTTGAAAACCTACAATACTCACAAAATACTGGGGTAATATAGCGGTTTTAGATCTCGTTTGAAAGTACTTGTACTTAGTTGACTTGTATAATCTTTCATTAGAAATGGTAATATTACTCAGTTTAGGCCAATGAAAGACAAATACACACAGTATGTATTCATGCGAGGGTTGATTGTTATTAGTCCTTATTAGCTCTTATTACACTTTTCAGGGTTTTTTAATCTCTTGAGACATATTTCAAAAATTAGTAATTTTCTTGTTTGTCTGTTCTATCCGTACTAACGCGTTTTTTACATCGAGGTAATGCGGACGGTTCCAATCAGTTGTGTTCGAAGTTTTATTGGTCGTAGCGCACACCCGCAAAAAAAAGAGAAAGAGATAAAGAAAGACGGGACACAGTGAGAGAAAGGCCTTGCGGTATGGTCACCCTACTTTTATATAATCGTAGCACTATAAGACCAGGACATGTTAATAGCATTACGCTTACTTAATACACTTTTTCACCGAGTAGAATTCTTCATTTGAAATTATTTTCACAATCACCTTTTGTAATATTAATATATTATCTACAGTTTCTGCCGTTATTCGTATTATTTTTGAACTTATCGATAGCCTTAGACAGTCCATGCACCTATACTTTATTAATAGTAATCCTCTTATGCCAATTTAACGCAAAGATTATCCCACTCAGTATTGTGATTAGACGAATGGATAATACTTTGTTTAATTCACCATTTTATGACAGCATTCTGGGCCAGGTGACTTTGCTTCTCAAACCCAGAACAAATTAGCAATTAGGCAACATTTTGTTTGGAGCTCAATGCATTTATCCTGGTTCCATGTTTTTTTTCTTTTGCTTCATACTAGAAAATAAAGAAAATTAAACTCTTCCGTGGAAAAGTTTACCAAATATTTGTTATAAATAGCATATTTATAAATAGCATATATTTCGTTGTTTAGTTGTTGTTGGATAATTTTTGTTTTGACAAGAGATTATAGAAAATATCCAGAAATCCCCGATGTTAAACAATGCAATGCGCACCTATATTTACCTGGTATCGGTACGAAAGGAGCAGACACACACTCGTCCTCGCATTTGAGAAAAGAGAAATTAGTTATTAAAAGGGATAGGCACGAGGTGCGATCTCCTCATCACAAATTAGTTCTGTTTTGCAAGTTTGGATATCTCAAATTTGACCGGCTAATGGCATCAAAAACGGTACATTTAAGTATCTTTTTACAGGTCGAAATTACTCGATCAGTTTTACTTATCTATACTTAGATCTTATTAACCGAGCGGGAGGTCTGTACGGGATAATCTTGACCGAGGTCGGAATGTACAGACCGAGGTCAAGATTATCCCGTACAGACCGACCAAGCTCGGTTGATAAGAGTTTTATTATATGACCACTTTTCATTGAAAAGGACAAAATGTTTTCGCCGTAAGATTAATATGCGATCGGACCGGTTAATACTGGAGAATCTAGACCAGTCCGCGTTGCGATCTATCCAATCAGATTGCTCGATTTGCTAGTGTCCAGGCTCTAAGATTCACGGTCATATAATAATATTCTATATTGTTCTATGTCCTTTCAATTGTGTTGGCGGATATAGTGTCTGCAATCGTCATGTCCAAAATAACTTTAATTTCTTCCAGGGAAAATCTTCTGTTCTTATTAGCAAAGCAATAAAAATCATCCACTGGCACACTGGTAAGCTGATTACGATATACCTCAGGTGTTACCGGACAGAGAAAAGAATCTAAAAATAGGGTCTTGAAACTCCGGAAAGTCAGCAACTGATAGCAAGAAAGATGCCGCAACCACAATTCCGAAAAAAAGCTTAATCCGACTKGTTCTTTTTCAAAACCATGGTTAAGATAAAAAAGGTTTGTTGATTAACGTCGTTTGGTCTGGACAGGAGCGGTACTTTTTCCTTTGTGTATTTTTGGTATTTTATTAAAGCCAATAACWCCGCAATTGAAATAGTCAACCATGAACCTAATCCGGCACCATTTTGACTTTTTTATATACGGTCGAGTCTAAGATCTTGTATGTACCATTTGATGGTAATCTTATCCTTTGCCTCAGCTTATTGGTGGTTTTCAACCATTCCCAAGAGAATTAAATAACGAAAGATACGGCGGCCATGTTGGAGGATATAACAAAAGAATTCATTGACAATTCTTTTGTTAAAGTCCTCCAACATGGCCGACGTGAAAACCATCAATAGTTTGATGGTATGCAACGCCACTACTTAATAATGTATGAGCATGATTTTTGCGGTTATAGAAATTTATTATGCCTGATAGATCGTACATAAGGATTTCTTTGCACATCAACGAGTTCAAGTTTTTCGTGTGTGATTTTTATATTTTATTTGAGCTTTTTTCTTTTGCTTTCTTGATTGAAGCAAAGTTGTCACGTGGTATAGTTTTCATGCATTAATATCGTTTATTAATAATAATTAATTAAGGTTTATCATGCAACTCAAAAGTTTTGTTATAAAACTCAAGAACTTCGCTTTTCTGATTATTCATTCCTATTTCAAAGAAATTAAATAAGAAATGAATAAGTATAGTCTTTGATTTATATCCAAGATGAATTATCCTTTTCATTTTAAGGATTGTATTTATTAGCCGATTATATAGGGTGTTTCAATTGATCGTCCAAACAGAACAATCTTGTCATTAACCAATGAAAACGATTGTTTTTAGCCAATTAAATATCTAGATATGGGGAGTTGATATTTTTCAGTGTCACGGATTCTCGAAGCAGTGACATGACACGGACATGGCAATATCGCTATAGATATGGAATAGTCGCTTTTAAACCAAGATGATCGAAAGCAACTCTTGTCAGTAAGTTACGCATGCAAATAACAAAAGTAAGAAAAAAACTTAAGCTATTAAATATTAACATACAAATTACGCCCCGTGCACACCTGTCCGGGTATTAGACGGAAAAGACCGTTTTGGATTAAGTCAAATACCGCTGTGCTCGTTGATTACAGACTCATTTATACAAAGTTAGCCTCATTACAGTGTACTAATATTCAAAAATACCAACGGTGAAATAAAGAATACAGAACTTCAGCAATACAAACACTTTGAAATTCCACGGACCTTCACTGGAACACATGAATATTCAAAATAACTCCATTCGGAATCGATTGTAACCGTGACAGAGCATTCAAACTGGAGGTTTTTTTTCGTTTTTGTGGAATGGCCTTGTGAACGCGACTTTTTGAAAACGATTACGCGTAGACGAAAGCGTTTTGAAAAAGGGGTTTGTAAAAATTCCGCTTTTAAAAATATCCGGATATTTGTGTACGTGGTGTTAGAATCACTTTTCCTTTTATTTGGACACATGCAAATTTAACTGTTTTTGAAAATAAGTCAAAAATAGACCACGTTCGATATCTTAAAGTTCAGGCTTGATAGCGAGGCTTTAGTCGTATGGTACAAATATGGATCACGAAATACATTTATTGTTAGGAATAAAATAATGTACCATATACGATGTCACTACCTTTCGGCAATAATTAGAGAACTAGAAGTTCACTAATTTAAGAACGTTATAACCGAATCTACAGCACTATACGGCTACTAATCCTATTGAGATGTAATGCAATTTTGAACATTTTGTTCCAGAGACCCTCAGTATCGTGATAGAAGTTTAATAACTCGAATGTGGCTTATTGATAGAACTTGTAGTTACATGCAGGTGCTTCCGGTTCCGTTATTCGTTATTCAGTAGTGGTGATCGGTTTTGTTTTTGTTGATCCATCAATTTAGGTTATGGACTTACTGTGAAGAAGAAAAAAGAACAGTATGAAGTATTAGATGTTTAAATCTGTAATTTTCATAACAAGAGCTACGTATACGCGGTGTGCGCTTTGGTGTCCATTCTCATATTAAATTCTCCTTTTTTTGTCCTATTTTACTATTTAACTATTTTACGCGATCCTCATGACAAGCCTCTGCCTCAAGAAAACCGAGCTACCAGGGTTTGCCCTTTTGCTAAACATGAATAGTTCCCTTCACAGTTCCCTGCACCATCTTGAAAGGTAGCCGTGCCTAGCATCGAAGCGAGACGAACGGCGAGCTTGCAATGATAGAGACATGCGAATAATTGTTCAAGGTGTTAAAAAAGGTCTCTATCATTGCAAGGTCACCGTTCGTCTCGCTTCGATGCAAAGGCACGGCTACCTTTCAAGATGGTGCAGGGAACTGTTTTTAGGTTCCTGATTTTTAGTTTAACTTAGGGATGACTATCTTGCCAACGCCGTTGAATTTTCTACACGAGTGCTACTTCATTTTTGAATCTATTTCTCGGCGGTCCGATCATTAGATTCAGCAATGAGTATATAGCATCATATGTTTACCTTTTACCCGAAAACGTTTTTCAGTTTAGTGAAGAAACGATTCCAAATCAATAAAGGGAATTTGTATAGTGGAGTCGTGGCAGGCATGTCAATTTACGGATAAGAACAAGTCAATTTTTTTTAAGACACCAGATTTCATTTCCAAAAAACACTTGGCTGGTGTGAAATCACTCTACACTCTATTACTAGTTGGATTACCTTCACATCCATAAACCTCTGTCTTCAACTCGATAGATTTAACCCACACCTTGGGAAGGAAGCGGATATACTGGGTCGTTATGTTGTAAGGCAGATATTGTTGAACGATTTCTTGTTGTGTAGTATAACCAGCAAATCCCTGAAAAGGGGAATATAATAGACCACTTGAGCTTAGACGTAATGCACAATTCACTTTATGAACGAGCCGTACAACGACAGTAGTCATGCGTAATTTATGTTCGAGCATTTTGATTGGATGAGTAGTAATCTTGCGCTCTGTGATTGGTTCAACTGATGTTGTGCCGTGACAGTGTCGTGTGCATACTGTACTAAATACACTGCTCCTCCGTTATTATTTAATAATAATAATAATGATAATAATTTTATTTATATAGCGCATTTACCAATATGCCCAAATGCGCTTTTTTACTTCTTAATTCTTCGTTTACACGTTACGTCTTTGCTGCCATGTTGGTGCTATACTATTAACTATGATTCCACCAACATGGCCATCATTTACTTGACTTTGACAGCTATTGACTCTCTTGGGAATAGTTGCACATCTTCAAGTGAAGTAAGACTCACCTTGACTACTTGATTCTCCGTGTAGTTTGCCCAGCTCGATCCGTCGTCGGAATACTGTATGTTATATTCATGCAATTTTATTGATAAGCCCGTCCTTCTTCCTTGAGTAGCAACAGCGGTTACAACTTTCTTTTTTCCAAGATTAATCTACGCAAAGAGGTAAATGTCAGTCTTTAAATTATTCAATTACTCATTCACTCCAAACAAATGCTTAGAATGTTTGTTTTTTCAAAAGTCCCCTTCACAGTTCCCCGCACCATCTTGAAAGGTAGCCAGGTCTTTGCATCGAAGCGAGACGAACGGTGAGCTTGCAATGATAGAGACCCCTTTTTAACACCTTGAACAATTATTCGCATGTCTCTATCATTGCAAGCTCACCGTTCGTCTCGCTTCGATGCAAAGGCACGGCTACCTTTCAATATGGCGCAGGGAACTGTGAAAGGTATTATTATTATTATCCTTTTTGTGCTGTTGATTATGAGCATTTACAGTCAAACACCTAAAATATGCCTGGAATGTTAAACATAGTGTTCTGATCAATCATATGCGACAGTTAATTAAAGATTGATTGATTCTCGTCGGCGATTGGTCAGAACATTATGTTTAACCTTCCAGGCATAGATGTTCACGGTTTTCTTAGTTTGAGTGTTTTTTTGTTTTTTTTTAATTATTATTTATTTATTTATTATTTATTTTATTTTTTTTAATTTTTGGAGAATGAATTATTAATACCTGGAAGTATGGCTCCGGCGCAGAGTTAGCTGAATACCATCTATCTTTCCTGTGGTTTCCTAGTCTTCCATGTGTTTCGGCTTTATGAGTGGAAGCTAACTGACTTTCTGGTATTTGGTAATTCTCCATTCCAAGTGGTTCTGAACAAGCTGTAAACACAATATATTAATGAGGTCTTTTTCTCTGAACAATATACTATAAGAAAAGTACGTGGACCAATCAGTCGTGGTGCTCAACTCAAGAGAGTTACTAGAGGCCGTATACATAAAGGTATGTTATATGTTCCAGTTTTTTCATAGACCTCCTCGGCTCGGGCGTAATGTTTTCCCATTTCAGACCACGTGTCATTCCCTAGAGTATCATTCCTTCGTTTAAGGTTTGCGCTCGGTTGCACATAAGAAGACACATGAATATGGATAAAACTCAAGCAGAGAATCTTATTCTCAAGGGAATGAACGTGCTCTTTTTTTTTTTTGAGGAGATCTATTGCATACCCAGCGTGAAAAATTAACCAAGTAAAATACATACTAGTAGACGCTAATTAAGATTTTTCCTTCTGTGTTACTTTTACTTTTAGGCACTATTTATACAATTTTGTTTCACGGGCTAAAAATAACTTGTGCACTAAGAGCTTTCTTTTGAGAAAAAAATGCTGTTTTTCTAATAGACCAGTCATTGATTATCTCCTGTTTGGGGTTAGAGGAGTTAGGGTGGATCACATGGTTTTTAGACAATTGAAGGTGCATCATCTATACATWGACAGTATTAAAAGGGGATCACTCAATAGAGGTTTTGCACCATCACTTGCCTGTGGTTAGATGGCAGAACAACAAAATCCCTTTGCTCTCGGGAATTGAATTCTTTCTTATGTAAAACGGTTGTATTGTTCCTGCCATCTAACACGGTTGCCGTCACGTGACGGTGCAAAACCTCTTTTATGTGAAAGTAGCAGCAACTAGCTTGTAAGGGGAAGAAGCACAAAAAAGAAAGTGCCTCTTGAGGAATTAGGTTTTTTTGAGAAATTAGAATCCTCTAACTCCAAACCCTGGCAATAGATAATCACCACTCCCTAAGCAATACAAGTGACTCGAGTTATACATAGAATTTAATAGATATTTTACCTTTGCAACCGTAAAGCTCTACCCTCATGCAAATGCGTGATTCCCATTCCTTTGCTACAATCCGGACAAATCTTGTTACAACTTCATTCTTGAGATCTTTCTTTACTGTCTGATAGGCTTTGGTTATTCCAGGAAACTCCTATTCAAGGTAATATATAAGGCAAAGGAAGTTATTATTTGAAATGTTTTTGAAATTTGAAGGATAACGTAAAGAAAGAAAACAGGGAAGAAGACGACAACTAAGAATAAACAAAACGATTTCAAATCAGTAGACCTTTTGACTGACACAGCGGCCATCTTGAATTATGGTATGCCAAGGGAGCAAACGTAGAAATTTCATAAAGCATAGAGGTGCAGGGTTACGTTTTCCAATGATTTGAAATCTTGGTGTTTCGCTTATTGTTCCAWCTACCAGCAARTTCAATTGCCTTTTAGATGTGCTTCTCATTGAAAGTTATATAAAGAAATACCAGCTGTGCAGTCTATTAATTTTCCAATCGTTGCCCCCCCCCCCCCCMCACACACACACACACACGCCCTTCCCCCCCCCGGTAAGAAGGTATACTCAGTGTTGCCATTATCAATCCAATCCTTCCAGCAGTCTATATCAAGCGAAAGGCTAGCTTACCATTAATATACCATTCTCAAAGTATTCGTTCCACTGACCACCATCTCTGCTATATTTCAAGGTAAATTTCTTAACCCATGCTTTAGTATCGTTCAAGCTCTGCGTCTTGGTTTTGGCTTGTAGAGCTACTCCTTTTACTCGATAGAGAAGCCCGAGATCAATCTGTAAATATTGACCTGATGTGTTTTCTTTAGAGCACCATGCACCTTGACCAAGGTGATGATTAAGTCTGGCATTAGCAGGAGAGAATTGATGACCCCGTGAAGACGATGCAGTCAACGCTGAATCCGGAATCCTCGAGTCCTCCATTCCAAGATCCGAATTACAGACTGGAATATATAAAGCGTATAAGGTCAGACAAACGTAATAAGATATTAATTTAGTCGGTGTTGGGGCTAGTATAATGTAAGTACACCAAGTCTCTTGTTTTAGAGATAATTATTTTCAGCAAAGCCAAAATGCGTTAGCAGCACATAAAAATCTCTGATCATCTATCTAACATACATCATCATCGATAACAACAATATGACACCTATTTCAAAAGACGTTGTCGGTTGCATATCTGAAATCAGAAATCAGAGACCGATTGGAATTGTGTGGGACTGAGTGCTTTCTCGTTAAAAATTCAATATGCACTTACCAAGATAGTTTGTCAGTGCAGGTCATCGCTCAAAGTTAGTATATCAAGATATTTTGCGAACTACTAATTAAAACCACAAACAATTTACAGCTTACAACCCACAATTCCTTTCGGTCTCAGATTTCAGATCTCCGACCGACAATGTTTTTTGAAATAGGTATATATCTTCATCTTATAACAAAAGATAAGACAGAATATATGATCAGGTTTTGATCCCTCTGTAGAAATTCAATATGTCAGTTGGAAGACATACCATCGTGCCCATAGAAAGCAACCTTCATGCATCTTCCAACAGCTGGGATGATACCAATTTTTATGTACTTGGCTTCAATAGGGAACTGAAGTTCGTGGAAATGTCCTTCTGCTAAAGACCTTTCTCGGTTTATATACTAACCAGAAAAAAATGAATGAATAATAATAATAATGATAATAATAATAATAATAATAATAATAATAATGGGAGTTTTTTATATAGCGCATTTCAAATATCTCAATGCGCTTTACATTTATAACCAGTGGAGGACTTTACGGGCTGCATATTAATAAGTGGTGGGATAGCAAAACTATCATGTCTAAATTAAGAGGTGCGGTTGCCTTTCTTTCTGTCTTTTTATTTTTTATTTTTTTAGGTTTTAGTTTAGGTTTTCTCCTTCGCAACATGCAAACGCATATGTACGCCTAGCATGCGTTCAGCCGGTATTCTCCCGAAATAACCGGTTATTCAGTTCGACAGAAATTATACCGGATGAGCGTAGGCTAGGTGTACACCTAGATGCCAGAGACCCCAAATCTTCTTCTTACTTCTGATACAACAGTTTCTGATTCATCTTCATAATGTGTCTTCCAGGTGACGCCGTCCGTACTGTAAGTTATCTTGTATTTAGAAACATATTGACCGTTGACTGGATGACCCATGGTCACGATTTTAGTTATCACTTGACTTGAAGTGAACTGTGCTTGCAGGTAGGGGTTAGAGTCGTCAGAAGCAGCACACCAGGCACTGTTAAGTGACGAAACTTCAGCATCTGAAACCGATGCTCCATTGGAAGACGCGGAGAGTGTATATGACGTAATACGATGGTGGCCGAAACCACGTGACTCGCTGCATGCTGAAATGTCAAGCCACGAAAATATTGAGCTTAAAAATGGGATGTTCCGAAGTGGGTATGAAAAAAGGTATTTCATCTAGTAACTTTTAATAGGGCGATAAGATAAATCAGGTTCTAGTTATATTTAGCAATTATTCGCAGAAGGCGAAGTGAATATTGGAGAGTATTTACCGAGACGCGATTCTTCGAACGGCGAGGTAAATATTTTCCATATTCACTGAGCCTGAGGCGAATAAATGTTTTAGCATATACCAACTTGTGTACAGAGTAACTTATTTTTAAATACAATAATTCAATAAAAACAAACAAACAGAAACTTTTAGTCTGCGTGACAAATTCACGCAAAACGTTTAGCAACTTTTAGGCCATACTTCGTTGCCTTTTTAGTATTGATAGGAATGGCATTTACTTTCATTTTTTTCAATTTCCTCATCGGAAATTGTAGCAAAACGATTGCCGGCAGATCCCATTTTGTTGCCGACTCAATATTCCGAGATTCAGAGGTGAATATCGTACAATATTCACCTCCTATTAACCAATGAGCGCGCGCGTTCTTAGGAAGTACACAAGTTGGTATATGCTAAATTTATTCATACACCTATTTCAAAAAACGCTGTCATCGCCAAGGTGCGATAGGTGATAGGTCATTTCGAAATGGAAATGGTTTCGTTGACTACAAAGAACATTGAATCAGTCTCAACAATAAGGTCCATGTTCTTGACGAGAATAAGAAGCAGAAACACAAGTTATTTTAGCTGTTCTTGGAATGAGCTATCTTCTATCGCTTTTCGCCTATCGCCTTTTACGAGGACAACCGTTTTTGAAAATAGGCGTATAAAAATTCTCACGGCGTTGAATGCATGACCTACCCTCACATCCATAGAGTTCCGCTTGCAGACATATTGCGGCTTGATATTCTAAAATCACGATTCTAACGTGTGTTGCTACAATTCTTCGTTCAAACCGGTGTCTAATCATTTCATGTTCTCCAACAGGACCCTTTAAAATCTAAAAGATAAAGCATTTATTAATTTTGATCCCATCAGATCGGTCAACGCAAAATACTCCAGTTTCGAGTTCTCTGTTGTTCAGGGATAGCCTCGACTTTGTGCAGAATATTCATGTGTTCCAGTGAAAGTCCGTGGAATTTCAGTGTTTGTATTGTTGAAATTGTGCATTCTTTACTTAGCCGTTGGTATTTGGGAATATTTAGACACCAATACGAGGCTATCCCAGTATGAATGAGCCTGTAATCAATGAACACAGCAACAATTGAGTAATATGAAAACGGTTTATCTTACGAAGCTTTTTTTTTTTTTTTTTACAGTGGGTTATCTGCTGCGCAATCGAGAGTCAGGTACATAGTATGGCATTGAAATACAACTTTTTGTTTCATTTCTTATTTCATTTTGTCTCATTTCAGAGCCGTTGTACAAATAAATGTAATGACAGAATCTTTGTTCGGATGTCTCGAAATTAAACTTTACTCAAGGGAATCGTGACAGAAGACCTCAGGTGAGAAACCTTTGAATCAATAGATCTATAATGATAGTATACTAATAAATAAACAACGTCTACACTTGTCATAAGAGTGTTTACACATGACGTCACAGCCGCCATATTGGTGTACGTTTGACAATAACTTTGTCATTAGTTTCTTTTGTTAGGTACACCAATATGGCTGCCATCTCTGTTGTCGGACATGACGTCACAGCCGCCATATTGGTGTACCTTTGACAATAACTTTGTCATTAGTTTCTTTTGTGAGGTACACCAATATGGCTGCCATCTCTGTTTTCGGACATGACGTCACAGCCG